TCATTCAGCAGCTCCGCGTTCTGCCTTTCTTACACAAGAATTCCTAATGTAAGAGTTCTTTTCATCTTTAGTGAGTATGATTTGTTACAAATACAGCCAAAATTCTCAAGCCACCTTCCACTCTGCAAAACTCCTAGTAGTTACTAGACAGAAGCTAAATTTATCACGCTAGCAATTTGGAAAGTAAAAGACAAACATTTTGTAATTTCAAGTGACTACAACTATGAAATGGCCTTAAGTACATTCTTATTACTTAACTTTTTTTAGTGCTCTTCTCACTATACCTTAAGACAAGGTTGTATTCCTTGCGGGGCTGATTTTAACTATAGCAAAAAATGTAAATCACAAATACAGAAAGAAAAAGAAAGCTCCAGGTTGTCAAGGGAAAAAAAGAGCAAAAAGCACACTGTTACCTACAGATCTTTTGAAAGTTAAGGCCGGGGATTTAGCTCAGTGGTTCCTGCGCCTGCCTCGCAAGCGCAAGGTCCCGAGTTCGATCCCTGGTACCAAAAAAAAAAAAACAACAAAGTTGTCACTGCTGGGCAAAAACTTAAAAAATGAGATATCCATAATCTCCTTAGGCATACACATGAGTTAGAACATAGGTTCACAAATGGTAAAGGAATAGTGAGAACATGTTCCAAAACAAGGGAGGCCCTTGAATAACCAAATTAAATTATAGCTGAACTTTTGAGTGCACTGAGGGTTCTAATAAGCAACAAATAAAGACTTTTACTGGCTGGCAACATAATGAGAACTACTGTGCAAGAGACTAAAAAAGACAAATCTGAGTATTATCTCACTGGATTATATTATTTACTTAAATGGTAAATAAATTTGTCCAAGGTAATGCTCCTAAAAGCTAGTATATAAATATTAAAGAGCAATTATGATCAATGACTTTAATATAAACACATCACAAATTTTAATGAAAAGACTGATAAATGACAAATATCGAATTTAAAACTAAGTCCTATACTTTAAATTTAATTTATTCATTGATTCTTAATATATCAGCCTCATAAATGGCTAGCTATACATACTTGCAACATAAAGCATTTATGTTGAAGGAATTTTTTCTTCACAATATACCAGTTACATAGAACTATTTCAAAACCACCCTCTACAGAAAAGGAGTTATCCTGAATCAACTAATAAGATATTCCCCTTCTCAGTGATTTGGTACGAAATTACTTCTAATAAAACTTTGGATTGGCCTCTAAACATGAGAAAGCCCCTTCAGTTGACAAAAATGACAAACAGTAGTCAGACAAACCAAAACATTTAAAATACATTTGGTTATATTTTGCCTAATCTTGAAATCACCTGAAAGTAGAACCCTAGAAAGCTTAGGTGACTCCTTGAATGTTCTTATAAAAAGTTCTGAGGCTCTGTCATTGCTAAAAAAACAGCAAACATAACAGCACCCTAAGTCTAAACTCTAAACCAGTATTTATTACCTAATCTTCACGTGCAACCTTCTGAATGCTAGAGTGCTTTTCTTCAACCATAAGTGTATCTAATAAAATCATGAGGCTCCCTCTAGCTCTTCAGAGAGGAGTTTACTAACCAATGATCCTATATAATTCCTGTCCAACAGGAAAGATTTGAGGAGGCTGCCTCCCTTTCCAGGAGAAATGTTTTAACTCTGTTTCTTGTCAGGATGTAGATGGTAAATGAGACCATCTGTGCTGGAATGCAGAAAGTATTGCTCCTTATATATGCATCAAGTTAAGAATCTATTAATTGCTTCCAAGCTAACCTTTATGTACAAAATTCTACAGTGAAACTTTAACCAATTTAAACTAAGTATACATTCCCAAGTTAGATTTACCCACTTTAAAATTAATTTTAATCTCAAAAAAATGGGTGAGCATCCACAGAAATTCAAACTTGTGATCTAAGCTCAATTCCGAAAGCCTACATTTAAACACAAAATTTTACAGAAAAACTCCAGTCTGTTAACAGGGTCATCTGCAGAGTTGATATAAAACAAAGATCCTGGTGGTAATTTGTAGAAAACATTTTCATGTACCATAATATTTATGTACAACACTGGTAATGACTTTTTTTATTGTTTAATCTTTTTTTCAATTCAGTATTGGATATTTGGGGATTGTAGTTATTTAGAAGCCTATAAATAATATAGTTGAAGCATGCCATTGATATTTAGCCCATCCTACAACAGCCATAAAAACTACATAGTCCACTGCCAAATCACTTCTAACAAGTGAATATAAACAATGCCAAATCCAACTCCTCGTACACACTCAGGCCATCTTTCAAATACTTACAGAATATTTAAAATACTGCTAAACCTTAACTCTAAATGTAAAGGAAACCACTAACTTCAAGTCATCAACCTATTGTGGACTCTCTTAATACAAGAAATATTCTCAAGAACAATAACAAAAAGAACAGCTCCCCCTACCCCTACCCCCACCCCTTTTGCACCAGTGTCCAATTTCTTCTTTTCTGAACAGCTGTATTATCCAACTTAAGTTGCTCTGCTAATTTCAGTCCCACAAGGACTAACTTGGAAGGCAAAAAAATACAAGAAAAGATCAATTTGCTGGGAAAGATCAAATGAGAAAACTGTGGGGACAGCACCAGGTCAGCCTGTGGAGAACTCAGCAGACCTGTTCTTCATTAACTGCAGCTCTCTAGGGATGTCACACACTACCTGTCCGTGGGCTTTATTGAGCCGCCTAACCGCCTCTCTGTTCCATTCTTCTGGGCCCAAGTGAATCATATCCTGCTGCTGACAAGTTAGCAGGGGACTGCGGCTGCAACATGAAAGTACTTTTTCTTTCTTGTCTAAATCAGGCAGATTTTTGAAAAGACGACACAGCATTGACTCGTGACATGGCAAGATGAAACGAGAGGTCTGGGCCGGTCTTGGAGCTGTGCAGATAAAAGTAATCAAATGACACTCCTGGAATGCAAATTGGCATTCTTGACTGCAGCAATTGCACAACCATGAAACATCCCTGACAGCAAGCAAGATTAGGACAAAATGTTATGTAAAGCACTGAACTCAAAAACTCTCACTTGAAAATTCAAACTGTAACACTTACATTTTAATATAGCAATAGTCAGCTCTGCTTTTGTCTGCTTCTTTTTGTAATCACATATCCCTGCCTGACAGGTATCTTACACCTCAGGTAGGAGGGAAAAACTTGAGTATTAGGGATGTACTACTGCTATTATTATTTTCTTAATATTTTTTTAAAAATCATGTGGTGTTTGTCCTTATTCAAAAGTTTTACACGCAAACACAACCCAACTTAATATTCTCGAGGTGTGGGGAAACCCTTTTCAGATCTTTCTCACGAGACACTCTTAAAGTTCACATTCAGGCTTAGTATTACTTTCCCCAGGTGAAGATACTCCTGTACTTCAATAATTAGCAATCTGGATTTTAAATGTACTGCTCTCCAAGAACAGAAAGCTACAACTAAGAACTTCATTAAGACTAAACAGTTTAAGTGAAAAAGCTACAAATATGATATAAAACGCAAATACCCTCTAATAAGGGATTTGTGTGTGTGAGAGTCTAAAGGATAAAAGGAAGTTCTATTAACTTGTACAAGGTCTCACTGCTCAAGTACATCTTCAGATCAGACACACTAATAGTGCCTGAAATTCCACTTTATAAAGCATGTAGGTAAGCACACTAACATCTGAAACTGCAGAAAACAGTGGGTGACAAACAAGTTAGCCACTGTTCAAAGTGACCAGTGTATGGGAATAGATGTGTAGACAAATAGGAATACTGGCTAGGGGGAAAAAAGAGGAATAATACCTGTACCTCGCTTTTACAACGTTCCTGTGTAAAACGCCATTAGAGGAAAATTGCTCCAGCTCTAAACAGATATATTTAATATTTTGTTTTGATGCTTCACTTCAACAGTTTCCAACAACTGCAACTCTCCACGAAGTACATAAAAATAATGAAACAAGTCATTTTCTGCCACTTTAATCCTAGGTACACGGGATTATTTTATGATGTCTTTTGTGCATCAGTTTTACAACAGCTTGACTCTAGAGTAAATGGGAACTATCATAAATCGCATGTTGCTTTCAAAACCACTTTAATTTCTGTCAGCGTAACTGTAACCACAGTCCTGCTTGGGTTTTGTTTTTTGTGCTTTTTTTGTTTTGTTTTGTTTTTTTCGTGCCTGCGTTTGACAGTCGCATCTCCTACACTCCAGTTGTGACTTTGATCACTGGAACAAGAGATGTCACGTTAGGGCGAAAGGAAGAAAAATATGCCAACCCGCTACTGAGTTTTTTCTTATTTATCCGTCTACACAGACACTCCGCACATCAGACCCTGGTGGGGTGACAGCAGCAACGCGGAGTGGAAGCGACCTCGGGCCGGAGCGGTTGGGCCCGTCCTCACGGTCCTTCCCCGGAGCGGCCGGCCGGCCGGCCGGGCGTCACAGGCTCCCGGGAAGGTGGCGCCTGGACGCGCCACAGTCCGCTCCGCGTGCGCCCCGCTCCATCCCTCGCTCTGGACTCGCTCACCGCAGCCTCACCCCGCGGGAGACTTCACCCAGTGTTATTCTCAAAAACTTCGTCCTCTCCCGGCCCGTCTCATCCTCTAGTCAGTGAACTAAGGGAACAAACCGGACCCTCGGAGCGGCGGGCGGCGCACACGCTCGGGGTGCACGCATGGCCCGGCAGGCTCGCCTTTCCCAGCCCGACCCGCGCCCCCGGCTCGGAGGCCGCGCTTGGAGGCCGCGCTCCGCCGCCAGCCCGCCCGAACTTGGGGAAGTTGCCGGGCCCCGCCACGCCGCCCGCGCCCCAGCCTCCGCCAGCCAGCCGCTCACCACTGCTCGGGACCGCGAGGACGGAGCCGAGAGCCGTCTCCCCACCCGCACACTCACTCACACTCAAGCACTCACACTCACTCACGCTCACGCGCTCGCCCTCCCACCTGGAGCCTGCCTGCCCAGAACTTGGGGCCGAGCTGGCCGGCGCGGCAGGGCTCTTACCATCTCGCATGCTGCTCGTCAAGTGCAGCGCCCGTCCTCGCCCTTGCCCTCGCCGCCCAGGTGCCCGCTACTCGCCGGCCGAGCTGCGCCCCGAGCCGGCCGGCGGAGGAGGGGCCGCGGCGGGCGGCGCGCACGAGTCCGCCGCCTGTGCGGCCGTCGCGGCTACAGTGTTGCGCTCGCAGGCGGGCGGGCGGCCGGCTCCGTCGTCCTCGCTCCCGGGGGCCGGCGGACGCGCGCCCCCTCCCGCCTCCCCTTCCGGCTGCGCGGCCGGCGCCCCGGGGGTGCGGCGCGGCGTGGCCCCGGCCCAGCTGTCAAAGCGGAGGCGGGGCGGGAGCCGCTGCGGGGGGCGCGAACTTTATCCCGGCCGCGGCCGCTCCTCCCCCGGCCGGCCCTGGGCGAACCCGGCCGGAGGCCGAGGCTGCGGCAGTGTGGAGGCGACCGGGCCTAGACGGCTCGGCGCGGCTGGTGCCCCTTTCCTGCCCTCGGGCCGGCCTGGCTGAGGCCGCGAGGAGGAGGCGGCGCCCGGGGAGGCCGCGCACCTCTGGGTGACGCTCGGCACCGCGCCCGCGGAACCGGGCTGCTGGGATGCGGACGCCGGCCGCGGGACGCTCCTGAGGGCGCGCGGATTTATCGCCTCCGGAGCAAACTTTCGGCTCGCCTGCCGTGGGGGGAAGGCACAGGTTTGAGCCATACTTACTCCCTTAGCGCTGAGAAATCGGAATCGTCAGAGACTTGCTTGGCTGAACAACAGGTTTGATTACTGGTTCCTGCTGGAAAGAGGAAAACCGTCCCTCCATCCCCTCTCTTCCATGAGTGCAGGGGGACACTGCATAATGGCATTCCGAGGTCAGAATTAAATTCCTTTGTAAATGTATGGCCTTGGAATTACCGAGTTTTCTTTGGTCCATAGTGTAGTTTAAATGTAACGTAAATTTTCACAATACAGTAATTAATTTTTTTAAAAAAATTTGAGAGCCCTTCTTTACTAGGTCCCAAGTAGCCACAGCTGGCCTGGAAATGTGATTAAGCTTGTTCACGTGGGTCCAGTGTTTCTAAACGGGACCACCACACCTGCAGTTCAGTGCGCTGATTGGATCCAAATTCCTGACCGTTTTTAGGCCCTTTCAAAGCAAAGTTCAAGTCACTTCTATATTTGTAGCTTTGATGCATTATTTTCTTGTGGAACAATTTGTCTGGTAAACATCTCCCATTATATAGTAAATACCTTTGAGTTCTGGGTATATGCTTCTCTGTTTCCAATAGAAGAAGACAAGATAACTTTTCTCCCTCAAGCGTAAAATACAGACTAGACACCTAGCCACTATCCATATACACTTAAGTGTATGTTATCTAAGAAGCCTCTTCTTTAAATGATTTGATTAAGGTGTGGAGTTTGTTCCCTTACTCTCCAAACATAACTGTAACATCATCCCATAGTTTGTAGAAACTGATTATACAAGGCATAATGATGACCAAATGTTCATTCTGAGCAACTGAGGATCATCACAAGAATTCTCCAGAAACAAGCCAAGTTCTGATGTGTTTTCCTGTATCATGGAAAAATGAGAAAAGCTGGTTGCTAATTTCAGAGCCATTACCCATACAAATCCATTCACACACTTACCACTTTGGACAAGTGACGAACCAACAACTGCCAAACAATTGTATTCATACAGTGCATTTCTGGCTGTGCACCCACACTGGCCAAAATGCAGAAGTTGTTCTACCTCAAGCAACCTGTAATTTACATTCCCATGATTGGTTCCAGATCTGTCTGTTTTTGATGTTAGCATATAAACAATGTGAGGCAAGACCTGTCTCTTTGGGGTCCCCATGCCTATCTGGACAGTCATTGTTACAAAGATGGGGAATGTGTTGGACTAAAGAGCAACCCTTGAGTAGGTGGAAGAATATACAGAAAGAAACAAAGCCTAACCTGTAAGAATTCCAGTCTCTATTTCCTCCAGTGAGTTTATATAGCAAATAGAATAAAACCTTAACTCTTTTGTCCTACAAGACCTTAACGATCTACACCTGCCTTACTCTTTCGACAGTTTTATTCCATTAGTTCATTTCTTTGGTCGACTATACTCGTCACTGGTTTTCATTGTGTGCTTCAAACTTGCCTACATCCTTCAGTTCTTTTTCGCTGCTTTTCTCTCTACCTGGAGTGTTCTGTGTTTTCCAGTAATTCCCGTCTATCATTCATATCTCAGCACTAATTTCATTTCTGCAGACTCTAAATAAAGTAGCTCTTTGCCCATCATCCAAAATACCCTCACATTTCCACCCATTGCATTTTTTTTAATGAAAAATTGTCATTACTTTGTGTGGTGGTTATTTCTTTTCAACTAAAATGTAAGCTCCACTCTGGCAAGGCCTGTATCCACCTTGTTTGGCCTGTATAATGCCAGGCACAAAACCAACTGTTATAAACATTTCTTGAATTAATGAAGAATGTCAACATCATCACATTATATTGATCTAACGACCATACCACCAAACAGGTTTGCTCTAGGAATATGGAAAAGTCTGTTCTTCTGCAGGATGTAAAGACCCTATTGCCTTCCTGCATTATCAATCCTCAGAACATAGTCTGGGTACCTCAATGGTCCTCAAGGATGTTTTAGAAGTTCTATAAGGTCAAAACAATTTTTATTATAAATCAAGTTGTTTGCTTTTCCCACTTATTCTTTTTTGTGTATACAGCAGAGTTTTCCAAAGACAACATGAAAGGCAATATCATAACAAATTTAAATGCAGAAAGAGATATGAAAATCTACCTGTCTTTTATTTCATCAGATGTTAAAGAGATGTGCAACAAAAATGTAAATTATTGCCACTCTTCTAAATTTCTTTGCTTTGAAAAATAATTATTTTTCATTTAAAAATGTATATATATTTGTTTTATTTTGCTATCATAAATTACTACAAACTTAATGGGCAAAACCACGAATTTATTATAATTCTGGAAGTCTAAAGTCAGATACAGGCTTCACTCGGCTAAAATAAAGGGACTGGAGAAGCTGGGGAGAATCTATTTCCTTTTATAGCTCCTAGAGGCAGCTTGGCTCGTGGCCCTTTTTCATCTTCAAAGCCTCCACTAACCAGAGGTATCTTCCTCAATCTCCATCACTGTGACATTCTCCGACCTCCCTAGGCACTCTTACACTAAGCTCCATCCCTGCCTGCTCTTTTTAACTTTTGAGACAAGTTCTTGCTAAACCACTATCCCAGGCTGGGCTTGAACCTTTGATCCCCTTGCCTCAGCCTCTCGTAGTGCTGGGATTACAAGTGTGTGCCACCACACCCATCTGGGAAAGATTATTTTACTGTTTAAAACAAAAATGGTTAACAAGAAATAAAGTCTACCTTTCCTCTTCTGGATATTAATATGAGAATGCGGGACCGGAAACAGCGACATAAATCCTGCACCCAACAGGAAGCACACACACCTGAGATGGTAGTCTTTTCCCTTTCTGTATGTCTGCCTGCCTGCCTTCTTTCCTTTCTTCTGTTCTTGCTTCCTTTCTTTCTTTTGCTAGGGATTTAACCCAGGACCTTGTGCATGCCAAGTATGGCACGACCACTGAGATGCACCCCCAGGCCCACACATGAGCTCTGGTTATTGACTAACTGAATTAAGTAACCTCAGACTGCTTGGAACTTCTTTTTCTGTGATATAATTAGTCCCCCTATTATGTTGAGGTTGCATTTTTATTACTTGCTGCTTAAAGCTTCCTAAGTGGATAATGACGCGTCTATTTAGAAGATCCTTATAGGAATTTCCTCCTGTCATTTCCTGTGAAATTTAGACACTTTTTCCAAATGCTGAGAAAAATCCATCAAGAAATCAGTAAACTGGGAAAAGTATTATAATCCTCCTGTGAGACTTAAAACTTAACTATCAACACAGAGACATTACTAGTTAGAATGAATCCAAGAGCAAAAAATGCTAGCCTAAGGAGTTGAAAGTTAAGGGTGACAGTGCCGGAAGTGGTTACTATATATGATCAGTTAATCTTGTTTGTATTTGTGGCCATGTTATTAATTTGAGCTTCTATCCTGACCTGCTGCTATTTATAAATCATTCTTGCAAATCAAGTAAATATAAATTTATTTATATAATATGTTTCTTATAAATCTTATAAGTTGTATTCCAAAAGATGTCATGTTTTGGAGACAAACAAAAAAGTCTTTAAATTGTTAATTTCAACAATGTTTTTTAGGTAATGTTGTTGACCCTTCTAGGAGATCCTGAATGTTACTGTGTCAATAGACTTTTCAGACTTTGTAAATATAAAGAAAAGGAGTGCATAAAGAAAAGAAAACATGAATGTTGGGAGGGGGGTCTGAATTTTAAAAAACAACTCAATTTCAATGTCAAAAATGAAGGCAGACAAAATTCATCATTAAAAGGATGAATTTATATGCAGTAATCTGTATACATATGCTCAAGTTGAGGATGCCTTTAGAGTAGTCACTTAATTTAGTTGATGTCAACATGAAATGAAAAAATTTTTTTCTGCATGTAGAGCCTTAATTATGAAATCAAAATGAAGACTATCAGATGGGACAATTGATGTTTTTAGATTTAAAATTTTTTATTTTAGCAGTGATAACTTTTATTAAATATTTGTGGTTGATCTTGGAATTTTTGAATTTCTTTTATTTGGTATTGGTTTCATGTTAATATTCTGCTTTTCTGTTTTCTATTATTAGGTCTCCTTATCAGACAGAGTTCATTTTTATGTGTTATTGAAATATACAATCTTGTCATAACATTTTATTTAAGTGCTAATAAAGTACATGTAGATTATTTTATTATTTTTATAGCAAACTCTGAGATATTAGTATAGCTCTATGATATCACTTGAATACTGCTTGTCCCCACCATACGCATGTTAAGGCTTAATTCCTCAGTACAACTGTGTTGAGAAGTGGTGGGATCTTTAAGAGGTAATTAGGTCAATTAATGTATTTCTCATGAGAATGGACACCCCTCACTCTTTTACACACGTGCCTCTTTTTCACATGTGCCCACTTGCCTTCCACACTTTTTCCAGCACCTTAAGGACACAGAATGAGGCCCTTGCCAGATGTGGCATCTGATCTGAACTTCCTACC